CACTGAGATGAAAATTAAAAATTGCTGAGAATAAATGCATAATTTGAACCCTTATCCTAAACAAGTTATATTTTATAATGCAGTTTGTTGATTATCAATTTGATTAGGCAACTCTCTCAACAATAGGAGGACAATTAAGAAGTTAAAAATAATGTACAAATGCATCATTATCTAAATCCTCACAAAAGATAATTCAAACCAAAACTTTGAAAAATAATTCATTTAGCTATATTTACTGATCAAAAAGATTAACAATTTAAAAATAATTCATTTAGATATATTTACTGATAAAAAAGATTAACAATATCTCACACACCAGCTTTAAATACTCCAAATCAAAATGCCTTCGAGGATAATTAATTAATATTATATTTGTTAAATTTATGTCACGCCTAAAGCGTGACGATATTTGATTCTAATATAAAAATTTCCAAACGAAAATGAAGCAATTAACAAATATAATCCCATTAAGGAGGCATATACTCTTTATGAGTATTTAGAAATAACAAATTATAAAATCCTAGAAGTGAATCAGGTAATTGATATATTGAAAGTTAAGATATCTCAATAACTATGTCGCTATGAAAAAAGAAATAAAATCGAAAATGAAAAAAGTTATCAACAACATTTTTGAAAAAGTTGTGCGTATTATATTATGAATAGAGAGGAATCGAAATTAATTCGTCAAAATATATCGATCGAAGCAATGATTGGTCAAAATAAATGGAAATCCTAACAAATTAAATTTACCGGAGAAATATGAAATTTTTGGATTTACAGTTTGAACACCTAAAAGTATATACTTATACGAAGTGGAAACAGAAAAAATAAAATCGTAATATGTAATATACGACTTTTAGTGTAATATTTTCGCAAAGATAAATTATCTTGTGGTGGATATTATCATAAGTCTCTATGTTAGCCTAAGAATGCATGAAATTTGATATGCATGTAATAAATGTGATTATAACCAACTTATCTTATATGATTTTAATACTATTTTAAAAGGATTTTATGTTTGAAGCATATAATTCAAGTGATATTATCATAAGGGGGAGAATACGCATTGTACTCTTTTTCCATTGATTAAGGTTTTTGTCACATTGGATTTTTCAAGCAAAGTTTTTAATATAACAATTGTTGTAGTGTACTTAAAAAAATAATGTACTATTTTTCTTTCATTAGGATTTTTTTTCACGGAATTCTTCCTAATAAGGTTTTAACGAGATATATTATTCCATATAAATATAGAGTTTTGATTCTTAATAAAACACACAAGTATATTGATTTTTCTAATTTTATCTCTTTTTATGAAAATATCATTTTTATAAGAAATATTTGGCAGAAAGAACTTAGACGTACATATTCAAGAAATTTAGCTTCACAATTACATTTGTTTTATTGGCATGCAAGAGTTTATTCAAAGCAATAATAATTAGTCAGCAAGATAGACTATATACAATAGAAAATAACTGGGTAATTATGTAAAATCATATTGGTTGAATTTCAATGACCTTATATGAATTAGATTAAATGGTTTGGTGAAATGAATCTGAATTGAGGCTAATTAGTTAGTGGTATCTGACTCGTGACATTAATTATTTTAACAATTTTGTGAGGAAAGCATGTTTCATAATCTCCGGTAAGTTCACTCTATATAATTAAGATAAAGCACGTTAATGGATTACGACACCCGAAAAGGATCAGCTGTTTGATTGTAATATTTGTATGTAGTGTGTAAATAATTATATAAACTATATCTATTTAATTTTTATCTAATGACTCGGCATTAGTACTTGGACAGAAATAACTCTTGATTTTTATTTATTTTTATTTAATATATAAATTTTGAAAAATATCAAAAAATGAAAATGGCGATTTTTTTTAACACGTGTTAAAATTTAAAATTGTCTCTTCTTATTAACACCTATGTCCACTTAATTTAAATATAACTTGTTACAGGATTTCAAAATTACATTTTACGATTTCTGATTAGGTATTTGAGATGAGCTATATTTCCACAATAACTCCAACTGTTGACATCTGTCACATGTTAAACTATTGCCACTCGGACCTCTCGAGTGATTTTACCTTAGAAGTCAACGAGAGACAATAACTTCCCTGAATATCTTCAAGATTTATTATATTTGTGAGGCAATATTATCTTATACATCTCAAAACTTATCATTGTTTTTCAGCTTAATAGTACAAAACGTCCATACGTTTGGCATGTATTGTGCAAAACGTCCTTAGGTTTCATTTTTTTACATTTCGCCCCTACGTTCAACATTTCCTTGCGCTGAACGTCCTTTTCATTGTTTTCCAAGGTAAAATGACCATTATACCCTCATATATAAATAAAAAAATAAATAAATAAAGAAAAATAAACAACAATTTGCAATCTTACTCCTAAACTTTTTAAAAAGTACAAACGAGTCCAAATAAATTATTAAAATATTAAAAAAAAACAAAAAAACTATCTGTCTTCTCCTCCGCCTTCTCCACCACGGTCGTCGCCGCCAACTTTCATTTAGCTTCCATTTTTTCCCTACTTAATTATCAGTAAACAAACCCAGTGTTATCTGCAGATCCACCTGGAAATTCCCACAGTCCATCTCCACATTCACCAGTCGACGTCATCTCGCAGCCGCCGGTTCTATCTCCAGAAACACCATCTCCTGCTCCTTCCCCCTCGCTTGACTCCCCTCCTGCGCCTCTACCTTCAGATCCCTCTCCAGCACTAACCAATTCTTCTTCTCCTGACAAGTCTCCGACATCGACCGAATGTAGTAGGCGAAGAGGAGGTACATACGGGTAATGTGGGGTTAAAGGACTCCTCCTCCGACGGGAGGAATGCTGGGCAAAAAGCCGGTGTGGCAATCGTAGTGGTCGCAGGAGCGTGTACCATCACTTACATTCACTCTCCTCTCCTGTCCACCGCTGATATTTGGATTTTGGGATTCCGAGCTTGAAGTCGAGAGGGCAGATTCAAGAGAAGGGAACCCCAAATTTTGGCTCGAAATTTTTGTTTGTTAGTGATTTTTAATTTCCACAGCCAGAGTCTGCTTCTAAACCAATCACCACCATATCACCGACAGAGCATGTTATTTGGGTGGTAGTTCTTCTGGTGGTTGTGGTGGTGGTTTTTTTTTTTTTTAAGAAAACTAGCTGTTTTTGGTTAAATCCCAAGTGGGTTTTTGTGGGTTTTGAGATCGAACAAGTAAAAATGAGAGATTGAACTGTGTGCACTGTGGAAACTGCCATTTTCTCTAAGAAATGGTGTTGATGGTGGTGGTGAGGAGGCGGAGGGAGGGGGAAGGAGAAGAAGAGGAGAGAAACAATTTTTATTTTTATTTTTGGTTATTTTTAATATTTTTATAATTTATTTGGAGTTGTTTGTACTTTTTAAAAAGTCTAGGAGTAAGATTGCAAATTGCTCTTTATTTTTCTTTTTTTTTTTTTTAATTTATATAGGAGGGTATAATAGTCATTTTACCTTGGAAAACAGTGAAAAAGACGTTCAGCGCAAGGAAATGTTGAACGTAGGAGCAAAAATGCAAAAAAAAACAAAGAAACGTAAGGACGTTTTACACAATAAATGACAAACGTATTGTGCTATCAAATCTTGTTTTTGTGTGGTAACATGAAGGGGTCAGGTGGCTCATTGGTGTCAATTAATGGAAAATCATTACTGCAATTTTGATAAGTTGGAATGGCTAATGTTAATTTGTACGGAAATGGAAAAATCAAATGCGACACAGCATTTAAAAATGATAATTTTTTTAAATGATAAAAATGATAATTTTTTTTCAAATGCGACGCATATTTGCAAAACATGACGTGATACAAAATATTTTAAACCTAAGCCTATGTTTGGACTTCATTTTTCTAAAAACTCATTTTAAACCACACATACTCTCATAAAATAATTTTATCTGTAAAATAAAATAAAAATCCTTATTTTTTTACCACACATTCTCTAAAAAACCACCATTCCAAAAAATATTTTCCCCTCAAAAATGGTCTCAAACATGGGTTAAATATTTAACTTGAACTATTTAGGCCCGTTTGGCCTTCATTAAAATTTTAATACATTTTTCTTTCTCTTCTTTGCAATCACACATTCTCCAATAAAGGGTAAAATTAGAATAGAATTTGAGAATCGGTCAAAAATCACCAATTTGGAGTTGAGAGAATCGGTCAAATTTACACTATACCATTTTTGGGCGATTTTTAAACAATTCAAAGCCGGTGCCAAAAAAATCTAACAAACAGCTGTTCTTTCAACCCTTCATAAACGGTGCCATTCAAAACGTGTCAAAACCAATGAAAATAAAACTCCCAAGTAGGCCCTTAGGATTTCATCTCAAAGTGTCAACATTTTTAAGTTTGAGACCTTAAATTTTTGTTATCATTTTAAAATTTGATCGATTTGAGAGATGGTGGCTTGTTTGTGAGCTCAATCTTGTAACTCAAATGCTTACATGGACGGTTAGACATACCAAATTTCTCGTTTGAGTTTAATTAGCTCGACACCATAAAGTCAACTGTGTTAAGATCGATTTTATAGGGGTTAAAGGTTGGAAGGAAGAAATTGTTTGGTTCCCCAAAATATGAACCAAATGGATACTTGAAAGGACGGACCCCCAATTAGGACCTCCTCATATTTTGAGTGAGTGCCGTTACAATTAGCAACTGAAATATATTTCGTCATTAAGCCCTTATTTGGTGTAGATTAAATAAGATTTATAATAATTTTGATAACATATGTGATTGAAAAGTCCTATGAAATGTGTGGTTACAAGTCAACGATGAAATTTTTATCAACTACTACACTTAGCAGGGGCTGAATCTGGAACATCCATTTTACTTGGCCAACCTCTATAAATATGCTTCCTCTAGTTTGGTTAAATCCCAACTTCAACTTGCGTTTCCTTCTTACATAAATCAAACAAATTTCTCTCTTCCATCTACGAAACTTGCTTCTCTACTCTTCATTAATGGCATGCTTACAAGTGTCTAAGGAGGTTAGTTTGCAATTTTCATCATCATATCACCCTCGACCTTCTCATTCATTCATTCATTGTTTTTTCAAGAAAAAGTTAAAATCAAAATTTCTTGTAGTTTTTAGTTTTACTACTGCTTATGCAACTAATTAGCTAGGAAAATTACATAATTGATGAATAAATGAAAGCTTTTTAGCAGAAGTTAAAAGGAGAAGTGGAGCAAGAATGCACAGGTGATGGTACTGTTGATCTTCATGGGCATCCTGCAGTAAGAGAACAAACTGGAAAATGGGTTGCTGGAATTGTTATACTTCGTAAGCTCCTTCCATTAATTCATTCAACAACTACTCACTTACTTTAACCCCTATTTGTCTCCCATTCTTTTAAAACTCATTTTCAATCACATATTCAAATAAAATTTTCTGTTCATAAACTCATAACTTTTCCTTATTTTTTAACCACACATTCTCCAAAAAATCACTACTTAAAACTATATTTTTCCAGGGGCTTAGTTACTCTTACTCCTTTATATGAAATCTTTCGACATGCTGTGGAACTTAGATGATTGAATTGTTTTCTTGAAACGTGTCACAAACATCACATTTGGGAAAATGACAATGGTGTTGAGAATTTTTGGGTAAAAACTAAGATAAGCGTAGTTGCATGCTCTGTGAGAGAGAGAGAGAGAGAACAACCCTTTGTATGAAGACCAGTTCCAAGTAGTACAGGAACATAATTTTTTAGTAGAGTATAACTACGATTCAAGCCAAAATTGTATTTGAACACTGTCTGGTCATATAAAAAAATAAAATTGCAAATTACAGATTTCGAAACTCATTTATTATTTCTAAAAGGAAATATGTTAATTCAAAATCTTGAAAACGTCTAACTGATTCGTACTGAGTGAAAGACAAATAAAGCTTGGCTCTTGCCTCGGTTGACATTTTGCCCCTGTTTGGCTTGGATTAAAATTCAACTAAAATTTCAAGTCAAAGTCAACAATTAATTTTAATCACAAATTTCATGGGATCTACAATTTTTCAACCACAGATTATTTGAACTCTTTTTCTGTTTTTAACTACACATTTGCAAAATAAAATATTCTGCACGTAAACCCAAAATTCTTCCTACTTTTTGACCACATATTCTCCTAAAAATCATTATTTAAAACATAATTTTTCCAAGTTAATGATTGTCAAAAAGACTCTTAGTTTTTTTGGGCTTTTTTACTTTTATCCCAAAAAATAAAAAAGCACGAACTAGCACTTGAGGTCGATTACCAATAGTATAAAAAAGAACCACCATATTTCATGTATATATTTATAAATCCTGCTTTCACAGAGTATATTTATTTGATCGATAATTTTGTCTGGTTCGGATTTTCGTTTTTCCCCCAATAAATAAATTGTACATTTAAGTTTCATTTTATACCTTCGTTTCGAGTTATCTGAATTCAATTGCTTGATTCTTTTGAATTAATCATTTCTCAATTAGGCTTTTCCATATTGATGGCTCCTAGGAAAATAATCGCACCTTTCCAGTTTAACTTGAGGTTCTACATTAAATGCAGGGTCTCTATCAAATATCACAACAGGAAAAACATAAACAATTGGCTCATATTTTAGTTTCCTAAACGGCGTATTATTGGAGAAAGTACTCTTATTGTCAAATGCCACTCGTTGTTCAATGAATACGGATGGATCCCTTTATTTACATGAATTTGTTGAATAATGTAGTGAATCAAGGTCTGGCTACTCTAGCGTTCTTTGGTGTTGGGGTGAACTTGGTCCTGTTCTTGACTAGAGTACTGCAACAAGACAACGCTGATGCTGCCAACAGTGTTAGCAAATGGACTGGAACGGTTTACATATTCTCTCTCGTTGGCGCGTTCCTCAGTGACTCCTATTGGGGAAGATATAAAACTTGTGCCATCTTTCAGGTCATCTTTGTCATTGTAAGTATCCAATTTAATAAGAGATTTGTTTCAGTATAATGATGTTATACGGACAATAAATGTGACGAAAAACAAGTAATTTACAGGGGCTAGTATTACTATCACTGGCAACACAGCTCTTTTTGCTGAAACCTAGAGGTTGTGGGGATGAAAATACTCAATGTAGAACCCAATCAAGCTGGGAGATAAGTCTCTTCTACGTCTCCATATACATGATTGCCCTCGGAAATGGAGGTTACCAACCTAATATTGCTACATTTGGAGCTGATCAATTTGATGAAGAGGATGAGCACGAGGGACATTCCAAAGTTACCTTCTTCAGCTATTTCTACCTGGCTTTGAACCTTGGTTCACTATTCTCCAACACCATTTTAGGCTATTTCGAGGATGAAGGGATATGGGTTCTAGGATTTTGGGCTTCAACTGGATCGGCCTTTGCAGCTCTTGTCTTGTTTCTTGGAGGTACCAAGAGATACAGGCACTTCAAGCCAAGGGGAAATCCCCTTGCAAGGTTTTTCCAAGTGATAGTTGCAGCAGCAAATAATTGGAAGGTGGAAATGCCAGGAGGTGAAGTTCATAACTTATATGAGGATGGAAATGAGAAATCAATTGTCGGAGCAAGAAAGATGCTCCATACCGAAGGTTTCAAGTAAGCATAACAGCTAATTTAAATAAGATCTTATCAATTTAATATGATGTTTAATTACATGTATTATTATAACAGATTCCTGGACAGAGCAGCATTCACTAATTCACCAGTTTTTGAGTACAACCCTTGGCGCCTCTGTCCCGTTTCCCAAGTTGAAGAGGTGAAATGCATTCTGAGTCTACTCCCGATATGGTTGTGCACTATAATTTATTCAGTAGTTTTCACCCAAATGGCCTCATTGTTTGTGGAACAAGGTGACTCAATGAGAACCACAATTTCAAACTTCAGAATCCCTCCTGCAAGCATGTCTAGCTTTGACATCCTTAGTGTCGCAGTTTTCATATTCCTGTACCGGAAAGTGATAGATCCACTTGTTAGTAGAATTAGGAAAAATAAAGTAAAAGGGCTAAATGAGCTACAAAGGATGGGCATCGGACTTGTTATAGCAATTATGGCCATGGTCGTAGCTGGTATTGTGGAGTGCTACAGGCTCAAATACGCCAGAAAAGATTGCAGACATTGCCAAGGCTCGAGCTCATTGAGCATATTTTGGCAAGTCCCTCAATATGCTCTTATTGGAGCGTCAGAAGTTTTTATGTATGTAGGTCAGTTGGAGTTTTTCAATGCACAAGCACCCGATGGACTAAAGAGCTTTGGAAGCGCACTTTGTATGACGTCAATCTCTCTAGGGAATTATGTCAGTAGCTTGCTCGTCTCCATCGTAATGAAATTTTCTACAGTGGATAATATGCCGGGATGGATCCCAGGAAATCTTAATAGAGGTCATCTAGACAGATTTTATTTTCTCTTAGCCGGCTTGACAATAGTCGATTTGGTTCTCTACATTGCCTGTGCCAAGTGGTACAAAAGTATGAAGCTTGGAAAAGACAATGAGAACAGGCAGTATGGAGTCTAATACATTTAATGAAGTTTATATACGAATAAGAGAATGAGATTATCTGGTTGTAAATTCAGAAATTTCAGGCGAACCTCAAATGTTTCTTTCTATATCCTCACGGAATTCAGTCTCATAATCTGTCCGTAGAAAGAAAGGATTTGCCTCGACAGAATGTCACATCTTTTTTAATTTCATTTTGTTGCTTCTAATGTATTCTGTATTGTATTTCAAATGTGAGAGAATTTATTTTTCATAATTCGACCAAGTTATATAGTTTGCACTTTCATTTAACTAAAATTTGAAAATTGCACGTGTCGAATTTTAACTTAAAATCAATCTATTTGCCACATTGAAGAGTCCTACTCACACAGGATTTCAACCAGTCTTTACACCTTCGCCATGGTATTGTCCTACTAACACATTATCTTCAGGTATAATCTTTTAGTTGGCATGAATGGAAAAATCACAACATATGTTTGATCAAACCAATAACTTCCATTGGATCAATCTCGTGCAATCCGGTTAGTTTTTAATTGTTCTAAACCAGTTTCAAATTAGCTCAAAATCGTCTCTTTTCGTGTCCATTGATTTGAAGTTCAAATTTTACCTACAATTAATAAAATTACACCAAATTAGGTAAAAATCCAATCAATTAGCAATAATTCATCTGGATAAAAAGCATGGATAACTATGTAAACTCTTGTTTCTCTCGAGCAAGATTCTATACTCAAATACAGAAACAAATAACAACGAAAATTCATTTGTTAGATAGCTTGCTGTATTCGCCTTAGGTTTTGAAACTGCTTGAATAATTCACAAAAGGCCTAAGTCATGTTACAAAATACAATTTTACTTATCCAATGCTTGATATACGTGTTTGTGTGCATGATCAATCCAATCACCATAAAAATTTAGGTTAGGTATATCCCAAGTCTCAATGGTCAATTATTTCATCTCTTTTGTGAGACTTGTTGTTGAATCTCTTACACAAAATGTTTATTATAAGATTTGTCTCACTATACTCATCTATTTCCCGCTCAAGATTGACTTGGTTTATCCAATGAAAGCAGCTATCTCGAATATTGATGATTCTTCATAAACTTGAACATCTCAACTCACAAACTTCAACTAGGCTAATCAACCTTACTAGAAGTTTTGTCTCTAAATTAAGTGTCAAAGGCTTAGACAGGAAGTGCAACGATTTTATTTATTGCTACTACGTTCATAATCAATATAAAAGAAACACACATTTTTTTTTTCATTGATTTCTAACTTGTAGGTAACTATTTCGCTCTTGCATTAATAAACTTAACACTATGCTACTTCTTTCTACTATTTATTGTCTATACTCTAGAGTCAGTAGCACAAGTTACGCATAGAAATTTTATTGACTTCCCTATTCTGAGTGCTCGAGCGGGTGTTGAGATCGTAGCGAGCACTGATGCAATATTTTCTTCTCCTTGCATAATTTCTTCTTCTCCTATTACAACTTGGACTCAATCAAGTTTTCTTCAATTCCAAAACAAATTCCAAACTCCCAATAGAACTCCTAAATTGAATTCCAACTAGAATTCCCAAATAAACTTCAACTAGAATTTTCTAGTCGACTTCAAATAGAATTCTCAAATGGTCTTCCAAATAAAATTCTGGTCATATCCTAATTCTAACAAACTCCACATCGATACAAATTCCACTCCAATGAACAAAATTTCAAAAATTCTCCACCTGGAGACAAATCTCACTATAAGGAATAAAACTTAACTCTTCAACCAAAAGATTCTCTACCGAAAAATCCTCGAAATGAAAAAATTCTCCAACTCTTCCAAAAAAACCCAATTAGGGCAAACTCATGACCGAAAAATTAAACTAAATCCAAGTATTGCTTAGGAGGATTGCCTTGGGTAGCAAAGTTGCTTGAATTATCCCCACAAGCAACAAGATCACAAAAATTTAATAATAAATACCAAAAAGGGCATAAACATACTGCTTTTGTAGAAAGATCTTGCTAAACTCAATACCTTCGACCTTACTTAAAACAAAAGAAACAAAATCAGCTTCATCGTACCTCTATGGTGGCCTAATATCTCTCCTGGATCTATCTCTACCAATTCAATACTGAGGCACCGCCGGTGGTGGCGGCAAAGCAAAATTACCCTTAACTTCTGATCTTGATTGAGATGTATTATTTAATATAGACACTAAACCAACCTCCAACAATACTAAACCAAACTTAAAATTCACCCGAGTCCCAAATTTCTACTGATTAATACCCAAAGATTTTGTAGAACCAAACAAGACATATAAATTGGACATTCTCTATCCCTTCAACATAACACGGGCATCAGCACTAACTTTCAAGACTCCACATGCACAAGTGTACTTGTACCCTTTTGAATCAAAAATACTGAATGAGATAAAATTTCTCTTCAAATCTGAAACATGTTTCACATCATTAAGTGTCTTAATAGTCCCTTCAAACACCTTAATTCTAACCCTTCAAATATCAGCTATCTTACAAGGTGTATTATTATCCATTACCACAACACCTTTAGTAACTGTTTCATATGTTGAAATCAAATCCCAATTAGGTGGCATTTGAAAAGTGCAAGCTATATCAAGAATCCAATCATCATTAGGTTTGGAGTCATCGTCAGAAATCACAAAATGTTCTCTATCATTATAGTTATTTTCTGCAATATTGGCTTCACATAAAGTTTCTGATTGTTTTTCCTTTTGATTTGCAGTAACTAATTTATTCTTATTTTGAACTTATAACAATCATTCTTAATGTGTACCTGTCTCTTTCAATAATTACAAACTTTATTATTGTAATTAGACCTTGATATGCCCCTCACACAATGATGAGGCTAATGTGGAGGAACGGACGATTGCATATTTGGAGCGCTTGGATTGTCGGTGCTCAAAGAAAGTGGCATAACTTTCGTATACGGTGTTCGTTTTGGGTCCATAACCCCATTTCGGAAAGCTCTCGACAATTCGGATTGAACTCATTGCTTTGCTATGATGTATGATGGATTTTGGACGTTTGACGTCGTCTTCCCAGTCAAAATTGCATTTAAAGTTTCGTAGTTCGTTATGGCCCAGTATGTGAGCTGTTTTCTTTCATATTTAAACCTCTCCAAATGTTTTTAGATTTTTGGTTGTTCAAGAAATAAGAAATGGGCGGGAGTTTCTTAGTAAGCAATCCGTTTTCACCTTATTATTGTTTGGCTTGTAGTTTCGAACTACATCACATAACCACCATCTACAACAAAGCTATCTCCATAAACCTCATATCCAACAAGATACTTCATTTTTTCCTTTAAAAATTAAGCATCATAAACTTCTCCAATGGTGAGAGTATCATGACTATTTAAGATCGTATATCTAAAAGACATGTGTGAAATGGGGTAGCGAACACAATAATATCAATCATAAATCCTCTTCATTATATTTGATCTTTGAGGTCTCTAAATTAGTGACGATTTCTTTAAAAACAGTTAGGTGTTATTTTAGTAATGTAACTTTGTCATACGATGAGAATACAATCGCTGTTTCAGATGAAATTTGTTGGTTAGACTTTTTATCATGCATAACAGCTCTAATTTCAATCATAATGCAGTGGCGGTTTTCTCCTTCAAACTGTTTTGAAGAATATTATTCGAACGATGAAGATATATTTGTGATAGGGCATTTCCATGCTTACGTTGTCTCTCTTCTATACTCCAAGTTAAGGGTGATAGTTACTAGTTCGACCCTAAAATCACCTAGAAGGGATGAATATGTGAATAGCGCGAAATTAAAATTACCAACTAAAAGCAACGAGTCACTTTTAATCTCAAGAATCAAATGTTTAATCTCAATGTTTGGATGTGTCTTGGATCTTGGAATGATGTTATGAAAATATAATATAATGATCAAATACACTTAAAAAAAGTAATAGGCATTGGGTATTTATAATTTGAGGTATTTGGGTAGTATAGGATAAATAAATCTCTTGAAAATGTGAACTAGGATTTCTCGAAAAATACCGTCGCTCGAGCGCCGACTAGCGACGGTGAGCGAGAGTTGTGTCACTCGAGTGATAGGCGGGCGACAATGATTATGTTTTTTCTACTCTAGCATCAACTAGGCGACAAGTTAGCATAAATCCGACGACTCTTTTTCCTTGTTCTATACTCGAACACAAAGACTCCTAGTTCATCTATACAACCCCCTAAAAGACTTTTTGATTTTTACAACTCTTTTATAACAATCCTATTTTTGTATAATAAACATTTTGTCTAAAGAACTGTCAATAAAATATGAATCTTAACATTTTCCCCATTTGGTATTTTGTGACAAAATTATACAATATAAGTCAAAGAAGTAAAAACAAACTAATCTACCCAAACTCAAACTCAAACTGAATGTCCTTCTCTTGCATTCCTTGTTAAACCTGTTTCCAGAAATCAACAAGTTAAATAATAAGTGTAAAAGCACGTGATACAAGAAATATAATAATTGAAATAGACCATCATAAATATGCTAGCTAGATTGAAAAGTAATACTAATGTTAATCAAAACACCAACTGAAACATTAATATCACAAAATATCAAAACTCAAAAAAACTAAGCATTCAAAAAGTTGACTGATAATCTCCCCCTTACTTATGCCCATCTCATTTTCTCTTTTCCTTTTTATTACAAATGATGAAGGGAACTATATATAATAACTCAAAGATGCAGTTAATAGCATGCACAAGCATAATCAACGATTAGTAAATTTTTCCACATACTCAGTTCAAGTCTAAATGGAATAAATTGTATAAGTGACTTATGTGTGTAAAGTGCCACTAATTTCTTGTGATCAAGACTCTAAACATTAAATTTGTGAGAAATGACATAATAAACATCACGGTTAAATAAGTTTATTCTCCAACTAATAAAAGTCAAACCAATAATGTATATCAAGACCTATAAATGAAGCTTATTTTTCATGTATACTATTCTTTTCTCTTCCTAACTTTGAGCATATA